GATACCCACCTCCAGAGAAATAACTGATGGAGTCTGAATACAGATCAAGAATGCTATTTTTCAGTTTCTGTATTTGCATGCTTCCCCCCCCCTTTAGTTCTGTGTCTTCTTTCACAACATGACTAATAATGGTAATGTGTTTTGCATGATTGAACAGGTATAACCTATATCAAATTGCTTACTGTCTCAGGGAGGGAGGAGGTGAGGGAGGAAGGGAGAAAATTTGGAACTCAAAATTTTTAAAAAATGAATGTTAAAAATTGTCTTTATATGTAATTAGGGAAGAGAAATATTATTATTTTAAAAAATCATCTCAGAGGATTCACCTCTTGTTTTTGACAAAAGATTGGCTGTCTTTTTCCACAAAGGAGAAAACGAGTATACTAGAGATACAGAGATATCCATAGGTATCCAAACATCTTGAAAATTTGATTTCCCATTCCCTCTAGGAGCAAATGCAAAATCCTCTGTTTGGTGTTTGAAGGTTTTTATAACCTAGTTCCCTCCTACCTTTCCAGTCTTCTTATACCTTACTCCCTAAGTGACGCTGGCTTCCAGGCTATTTCACCAACATGACACTCCATCTTGTAGCTCTGGGCATCTTGGCTGTCCCTCATGCTTGTCACACTCTCCTTCTTCTGCTCCAACTACTGACATTCCTGGCTTCCTTTCAGTCATAACTAAAATCTCACCTTCTACAGCAAACCTTCCCTAACCCCTCTTAATTCCAGTGCTTTGTCTTTTTAGGACTTCCTGTATTTCCTGTATACAGCTTGCTTGCACATATTTGTTTGCATGTTGCCTCCCCTCAACTAGATTGTAAGCTAGTTTTTTTTGCCTCTTTTTGTATCTCCAACATAGTAGGCGCTTAGCAAATGTTTACAGAATTGAATCACTATCATAAATGTTTATTTATGGACATTTCTATTAGGAGTAATATGCCAGGAATACAGAAAAGCATTAAATATTATCCATACCCTCCAGGAGCTTAGATTAAAAGACCTTTACTCAGAAAGATAAATATCAATAAAACAAAGAATATTCTAAGTGACAAATGACTGGCCCAAGCAGTAATCATTTCAAGAATCGAGAGGGAGGTATAATCACTGGAAAGGTTTCCCTGGGGGAGGCAGGGATTAAGGAAGACCTAAAGGGAAGGGTTGGATTTAGATAAAAGATGATAAGGGACAGAACTCCAGCTAGGGGAAATGGTGTGAGCAAAGTGACTGAAGTAGGAATGTGTACGGCATATTTGATAGTAAGTAGGCACGTGTGGAAGAGCCAGTGGGGTTTGTTTTTTAATCAGTGAGGTGGGAATTTGGTGATCCCACTATAAATTCCCTGATACTGGCAAATTAGGATTGCACAGGAGTTTATGTTGTAGAATGAATATACTGTCATGAGTAAATCACTTTAATATTTGCCAAGAAATTAATACATGAATACAGGTATATAACACAAGCTATCATGAGGATAATGGAAGACAAGATTCTACTAGACTTTAATCCCCTTGAGGACAGGGAACTCAGTCATTCATCTTTGTATGCCTTTATCAACCAGCATAGTACATATAGTAGAAGCTTAATAAATGAAAGTCTATTAAAGGCACGGAGACAGGGGGAGGGAAGGAACTAGGAAAGGAGTTCAAATTGTGTTTCTGCCACCTACTATTTTATGTGTCATTGAGCAAATCAATGGCTTCTGTTTACTTCTCTATAAAAGAAAGGGGTTACACAACATAACTTCCAATGTTCTTTCTAGCTCTAAATCTGTGATACTGTGATCTGACAGCATCACTGCATACAGGCCTAGGATCTGTTTAACTGGATTTACTTTACGTGAGGGTTTCTTACGTTTTCAGAACTGACCTAAGAGAACTTATGAGGATGCTTTTATTCCAGCTCAAATGCTAATATCTGGCAAATCCTTTTACCTCTCTGGACCTCAGTATACTCATATTTAAAATGAGAAATTTGTACTCTAATCATCTCTAAAATCCTTATCTAAGTTAAATAATATGCAACTCAAAGTTTACTTCGTATTTAAAGACTAACCATGGTACAAATCACATATATATCAAAAGGAAATTGTATGTGTATGTTCTTAAATGAACTATGTTTGAAGAATCTAATATAAAAGTTTATCTAGAACCCATTGCAGGGATTAGGTTCCAGCTAAATTTGTCTTAAATGCACTTGACTGATCCATTTCATTCTAAAGCCAGAGAATTTTCTTGGTAATGTCCAGCTCTAAACAGGCTCTAGATCAGCTGAACTGAACTGTTTAAAGCAGGAAGGAATATTTTTAAAATTCCAGACTACGAAGAAGATATGAGGGAGAATGAGATTTCTGAAGGAGGAACAGCATTCTTACTAACTATAAATGAGAGGCAAAGTCACCACTTAATCAAAAATTGATTGATCCCTTATAATGAGCTGTTGGGGCAGCAAGGGGGTGCAGCGGATAGAGTACAGGGCCGAGAGTCAGGAAGACTGATCTTCCTGAGTTCAAATCCAGCCTCAAACACTTACTAGCTGTGTGACCCTGGGAAAGTCACTTAGCCCTCTTTGCCTCAGTTTCCTCATCTGTAAAATGAGCTGGAGGAGGAAATGACAAACCACTCCAGCATCTTTGCCAAGAAACTCCAAATGGGTTCACACAGTCAGACATGACTGAAACAACACAACAACAACAACATGAACTGTAGGCTACCCTAAAGGCCAACAGACAACCTTTTCAAGTAGTTTTTAAAGGTATTCTGACATGTATACAGGAAGTAGGCTTCTTCTATATACACTTCTTGTATATAAAAGTACTCAAAGTAGAGACAAGGGTCACAAAGACACCAAAGTGAAAATATAATTCCCTAATGAAAATACAGAATAGGAATGTAAAAGTTATTCTCATTCTTCTAAAATGTACAAAATACTGTACTTTTTCTTAATGGTATAAAACTGATGCTCATAATAGTACCCTTGTCCTTGCCATCAATTGTGCTCTATTTTCACAGCAAGAATTTGGAAATTCCTTTATCTTCCTAAAACCTTCTAACATTCCATCTCCCCCCATGCCTCACTCCTCACAGCGATTCCCCTTAGTCCTCTCCCAGACTATTCCCCTGATCTGGTTTCACTTTTCTTCCCTCCCAATCTCAACCCTATAGTTAACAAGATCAACATTACACTGTCTTCTAATCCCATCTTTCTTGTCCCCTTGTCCTTCCGCTGCTCACACTTCAACAAATCCCAACCCAGATTACTTCCATTGTTCACATCCTCCATTCCCACTCACGTGTTGCTGAAGGAAGTTAACCATACTGACTAGGTCCAGTACAAAGTTCTGTCATCTAATCTCAACTAGGGGCAGCTAGGTGGCATGATGGATAGAGTACTCAGATTGAACTCAGAAAACTCATCTTTCCGAGTTCAAATTCAGCCTCAGACACTTACTAGCTGTGTAACCCTGGGCAAGTCACTTAGCCCTGTTTGCCTCAGTTTCCTCACCTATAAAATGAGTTGGAGAAGGAACTGGCAAACCACTCTAGTATCTCTGCCAAGAAAACCCCAAATAGAGTCACAAAGAGTCTGGCACGACTGAAATGACTCAACAAAAATCTCAACTGAATAGCAAGGGAATCCTTTTTACTTCTCCCTTATCAAGTCTCTATCACACTTCCCAAAGCCCCTATTCCAAACCTTTTCTTTTCTCCTCAGGGCTCCCCAAACTGTCTTTCTTCTCCCTATGTTCTCTTTCTTAGTGACTATCAGTGCCCATGGGTTTAATTATCATCTCTATGCAGATGACTTCCAGATCTATATATTCAGTCCTAGTCTCTTTCCCAAGGTCCTACATTATTAATTCCCCATTGGAAATTTCAAAGTAGTTATTCCACAGGCATTTCAAACTCAATGTCAAAAACAGGACTTGTTATTTGTCCCCACAATCTCATTTCTAAACTTCCTAATATCTGTTAAAAGTCTGACTATCCTTCTAGTCAACCAGGTTCACAACCATAGTGTAAGCCTTGACTTCTCACTCTCTTCAGCCCACATATGAACATAGTTTCATACATAGTTTCAAGCACTGCTTCATCAATTCTAACTCCACGATATCTCTCACATATCCCTTTTTTCCATCCATAATCTCTAGACCAGCTTAGGCCCTCATCACTTCTTCCCTGGACTAATGCATTAATCCACTAATTGGTCTCCTTAACTCAAGTCATCTATTCTATACACCTATGACTTTCCTAAAGAACACATCTATATCACTTAAATGCTAAATAAATTCTAATAGGTCCCTATTGTTTCTAGGAAAAAACACAAACTTCTCTGACTGGGATTTGAAATCTTTTCCAACCTGGCTCCAACCAACCTTTCCAACCATACTATACATTATATTCCTTCATGCATTCTACAGTTCAGACAAACTGGCCTTCTTGCTAGTGCTCAAACACAACAATGTGTCTAAAATCGCCGAGCCTTTTCGTTCTCATTTCTGTACCTCTGCACAGCCTGCTCCCCACACCTGGAATACATGCTCTCCTCTCTGTTTCTTAACATCCCTAGTTTCCTTCAAAACTAGTTCAAACACTGTCTTCTGCATAAGGCCTTTTTGCTGGTACCTTCATCAGAAAATTATGTTGTATTTATATTGCAAATACTTATTCTGCATGTACTTTTATGTGTACATCTTATCTCTCTCCTACAGAATACAAGCCCTTCAGAGCAGGGATTTAATTTTTTTCTTCGTATACCTAGTATATATTGCAGTGCTGGGCACATATCAGATATTTAATTACTGCTTATTGATTAATAACATTAGGAGGGAGTTGCTCCTTAAAAAATGAATCAGGGGACAGCTAGGTACGCAGTGGATAGAGCACCGGCCCTGAGTCAGGAGAACCTGAGTTCAAATCCAGCCTCAGACATTGGACACTTACCAGCTGTGTGACCCTGGGCTAGTCACCTAGCAAACACAAAAAACGAATCAGAACCTACCTGGTAAAGACAAGCAGCTGTTCCAAGGAAAAATGCAATGACGTAACTGAAATCCTCACCATCATTCTGTGAAAACAAAACAAAAAGTCATTTCTTTTTCAGGTGGAGAAGAAAGGAGAAGAAAAGTGGCTTAATCCAACAACAAACTTTCTGGGGGAACATAATGTTAAATTATAACAATATGCACACAAGAGAGTCTTTATAAAATGAAGCCTAGACATCATTAAAAGTTGAAATAGGAAAAAAGTACATGGCCTGATTCTTGGTCTCTGGAAGCTTATAAGGTAGTTGGGGAAAATGTACTATATAAGCAGTAGAGACAATAAGGACCACAACAATAATTCCCTGGGGGCCCCAGATTCTTGCAGTTTTTGCAAAGGGTCTACACTTCATTAAGCGATTTAGTAAAACAAATAAGAAATATGTATACATATTCACATATCTTCTCCAGGCAGAACAGATAATATTTTGCACATATACGCTTTACTATTTTTAAATTTTTATAGATTGCGTTGTGATTAATAAAATATTAATTTATTTTAAAGCATTACTGAATTCATGGTAGGTTTAGGTTATGTATTTTCTCAGTCAATGGATAATAAAAGTACAAATACTGAGAAATGCTAAAATAATAATGTTAAATACAAAAGCTAAAAGGTCAAGGGTCAGTAACTGTACAATAAGATTTTGAGAAGTCAAAAAATTTTCTAACTGGTGAGGATCCTACACAATCCAGTCTCGAATCTTAAAATGGAAGCTGAAGACAAGGCAATGTACTATAAAGTCAAAGGGTAAAGCTAAATGGAGCCATACCTCTGCACTAATTTTATCTTACCTAAGAGAATAAAAAAATGTCCACAATATTTTGATCTCTATCTGTGCTTAAAAAAAAAATTCACCTCTTTATCAGCCTATATACCATGTCTATAGGGTCACCACTCATGGAAAATAAGTATTGGCAAATTTTACTAGCTAGTGAACATTTCATCAATTTGTTCAATAAATTAACTCAGCAAAATAGAACTCTTAAATCAGATACTTAGTAACCACTAGGGAATGCTAAAAAACAAAACAAAAAACCCCAACCTTATAAGGTAGTGAGTACAGGCCTGACATTCTAAAATGGCAACCAACTAAATGAACAAAGAAAGAAAGAATTTTCTCTTTTTCTGTTTAGATAATTTATCAAGAGTGTCAATGTCACACTGATGACGAGACTGAAAAATGTCTCCTTGCTTGTGGAAGATTCTTCTCAAATGTCTTTATCAATTTGCCATCATAGCTTCTTTTAATGTCTCCTACAAATCTGAGCAAAAAGCCCACCTTTCTCCTAGTCAGGACCATCAAATACTGCTTTTTCTTGGCTTCAGGGAAATTATACTGAAAATTTTCAAAAACATACAAGTGTCTATGATGACTAAGTCTTCATGAAATGGCCTGAAAAGCATAAAGAGTTTGTGAAATATCATTTATTGATGGACTTTAGAAATAAAGCTGGTTTGAGACAGTTCTCTATTGAAAGCAAAGAGGATTTCTCTGATAAATTTCCCTGAGGCCTCTTTTCAGGTTCACAGAAGCTATTTGGATAAGCAGGATCTATTAAGTACCCCTATTTTCACAGTACCCTAGCAGGGATCTACAAGGTATCTCACAGATCATCTTACAGATCATTCATTTTAGAGATGAAGAAACTGAGACCCACCCAGGTTAAATGATTTGCCCAAAACAAGATTTGAACTCATGTCCAAAAACCAGAGCTGTTTCCATTGTATCATGCCACCTCTCTTCATCTGACAGAATGATAATCTCGAGCCACGAAATGGTCAAATTTGATCCTAACCTCCCCCCCAAACCATTCCACTTTAATAAGTCAACAATCATTTTTATAAAATACTTATTATGTGCCAGGTACTGTGCTTGGTGCTGAGGAAAACGAGAAAGGTAAGACAGTCTCTGCCCTCAAAGAGTTTACAGTCTAACACATGAATCAACATGCAAACATCTACCATAAGACAAGTTATATACAGGATAAAATAGAAATAATCAATGGAGGAAAAGCACTAGAATGAAGGGGGATCAGAAAAGGCTGCTGTAGAATGTAGGATTTAGCAGGGATATGAAGGAAGACAAGGTAGCCAATGGATGGAGAGCAGTGTCAGTTTAACGATGAGGTCAGAAGCCAGACTACAGAGGGAGAGGAAAAAGGAAAGGGAAAAAGAGAGAAGAAAGTACTTGGAGGCACCAGTTGTAGAGAGACTTCTCAAGAAGTTAAATCACAAGAGGGAAGAGAGATGTGGAAGAACAGCTAGTAGGGGTGGCTCAAGAGAGGGTTTGAGTATGGAGAAGGCATGGGCATGCTTTCCCTGGTGGTTCCTCTGCTCTGAAGTTTCAAACGATTCATCTACAGCTAGGTTTGAGGTTCTAAACGTCCTGTATGGATTTCAGTCTGGTACTGGTAAAAGTCAAGGACATTTTACAGATATATGATATAGCAATCACAAACCACATGGAGACAGGAGGGAAGACCTGAAAGCCCCTTCATTGTTATCACTGTGAAGTTTTCCCCAGACTTGAGTATAAGGCAGGTCCTGTGGCTTGAATAAACCATCCTGGATTTCAGATTGGTCTGAGTAAAGGGTATGAAGATTTTCCAGTGAGATTTGGTCATTGTAATCTTTGAGGGAACCAAGATGAAAGTAAAATATTTTGGCATAGCCCATGGAAGTTCAGCCAACAGGATGCATACAAGCAGGGAGTTAGTCCTGTTCCACTTCTATGGAGTGCTTCAGAAGGACACCCTCACAATGGCCTTGTCAGGGACAAGAAAAGACTAAGGATTGTGATGGCCTGAGGATACACTCAGGGTACTTCCCCGGCCAATAACTAAACTAAGTCTCTACTCTCTACACAGTCCTCTAGGACCCTGCTGAGGCTAAGAAATCCCTACATTTGGGCAACCTGCATTAGATTTGTCTCTTTCGTTATTTTAAATAAAGTTCTACCTTTCTTATCCCTTTAAATATTTTAGTCATACTTAAAATCAAGATGAGTACTTTCTCCTTCTCCATGAAACTTCCCCTATTTACTCTAAGTCACATTTATCTCTCCTTCTTCTGAACTCTTGCAAATATTTTATTTTTATTATCTATGTCTGGGGTTCTTAACCTTTTTTATGTCATGGACCCCTATGGCAGTCTGATAAAGCCTATGGATTTCTTCTCAATGTTTTCAAATGTATTAAATAAAACACACAGGATTACAAAACAAAAAAATTGGGGGGGGGGCTAGGCAATGGGGTTAAGTGACTTGCTCAGGGTCACACAGCTAGTATTATGTATCTGAAGCCACATTTGAACTCAGGCCCTCCTGAATCCAGGGCCAGTGCTCTATCCACTGAGCCACCTAGCTGCCCCTTACAAAAATATTTTCTAAAAAATAAGTTAATGGACGTTTGATTAAGAACCTCTGGTCTACATGATGTTTTTTGGCATTAATCATATATATTGTCTTATTAAGACATATATAATATTAATATACTGTCATATTATTAATTTTTTTTATCATGTATATTAATTATCTTCTCTCCCCAATTAGATCATTTATTGCCTAAGGATTGCGTCTTATACTTGCTTTGCACTCCTGAAGATCCCAGCAAGGAGCTATGTTTGTAATATGTGTTAAATAAATGAATGAATAGCAAATGTTGTTGAATTATGCTATTAAAAACTCTATATTTCTACTCACACATTTTGTAAGACCAACAAACAAATAGAGCATGGAGGGAACACAGAAAATGTTGGTAGGGGAAGAGTAAACTATGGGGATACAAGACAAACTATCTAAAATGAAAAAAAAAAAGGCTGCATAGATGCAAGAGCAAGTTCACTTTTGTGAGTCATCAGGCCTATGACCTTGGCAGTCACTGGCCAAAATACATATCAAACAGAAGCTCTGCTAAGCAAGACATGGATATAAGACAAGGTTTCTTATATATCTAGAAGAAAACACTCTACAGGATTGATGTTTGGTGCTAAAGAAATCAAAGACCTCTTTCTGTTAAGCCTGTCCTTAAGGGGAAAGGACTTCCTTTGAAATTTTAAATTCAGTAACATTTCTCTGATGGACAGTGAAACACTAAGAGTGATTCAAGCAATATTAGGTGCTCCTGATTTCTGGGTGATATTTTTTGGTAATTATAGAAAATAATTTTCTTATAGTAGAAAATGAGGCAAGCAGATCATTTCTATCTTGGAATCCAACTAATATATTTTCTCAACAATACTTTTGAAGAAAAAAGATAACGTTTATAAACTTAATTTGGAAAAATCATATTCATTTCCATGTGTTGGTTTATAATAAATTTATTCATATTTATAAATTCAGAGAAGTATTAAAAAATGACTAACTCACCTGACTAGTTAACGCATATTGCATATACCCTCTAGAAACAAATTGTAAATTATAAAAACTGTCTATCAATTGTAAAAAAAACCCTGAATCCTAGCATGTTTATCCTCTCTTCTTCCCTATTTTACCTCAGAAAACCAAATACTATTAGTACTACATCTTTCCATCAATCCTTGCCTCACAATCCTAAAAAAAACTTCATGGTGAATGCTCAAATAATACAAGTACTTAAATACACATAAATGTGTTGTGAGCTATGCAGTATGCTCAACCTCAAATATACCCCCAGCAAGCTACAACCTAAAAGATAAATAAGACAACCATTTGTCTGAACAGAAAATTTCAGACAGAACATGACCTTAAAATATGTTGAACTTTTAACTAATGGCTTACATATTTCTGCCTTTCAAAAAACCACACATAGAGTACCAATAATTTTTAATTAAATCTAAAACTATGACTCTAAGGAATCTGTAAGAGCTATCATTATTCTTAGGCCAAGTATTCCAAAATTTTAGGTGGCCAATGAATCAGAAATTTTTTTAAAAAATAATTAATTTTTAGTTTTCAACACTCACTTCCATAAGATTTTGAATTTTAAGTTTTCTCTCCCTCCCTTTCCTAACCCCTTCCCCCTAAGATGGCATGCAATCTGATACAGACTGAATCAGAGATTTTAAAATTTCATTTTGAGACCTACTCCCCCCACCCCCTTCTTCTAAATACCTCCCCCATTCCAGAATGACTCAGGGATATTATAATAGCAAAATGTCTTAGTATCTGAGTTGGTCCAAATCTCATGCTACTTATATTCTCTTAGGGGTTTTAATTAAAGCACATGGTCCCCAAATCTCTCTCTAGCTTCCTACTTGCCAAATCCCTACTGGGCATTTCCATTTGGATGTCCTGGTTGTGACTAAACCAAACTACATGCCAGCACCTGGACCACATAAGTGCTTAATAAATGCTGACTGATAAACTAATCATTTTTTTCCTTGTCCCTCCTCCCCCAACTTTACCCAATTCATCTTCCTGAATTCTTCCTAAGGCAGAAACTCTATTCAGGCTAGATATCCCTCTGTCCTCCTTATTAGAGGGTAGATCTATAAACTCTTACATTTGAGGAGAGAGAACAGGACTGACATCTTCTCAGTTTCTCCTTAGCTACACTCACTGTGGACTTTGTTAAGTTCTCTACAATGTCCAAGCCGGGATCCGTCCTCTACCCTGGTTTTTCAGCTTTCTTTTGTATGTTGTCTTGCCACATTACGATGTAAGCTCCTAGAGGCCAGGGACTGTCTTTCTTTTTCTTGTATTTGTATCCCCAGACCTTAGCACAGTGCCTGGAAATAGTAGGCACTTAAAGTTTACTGACTATTACTGGAAAACTTATACCTTTGATTTCACCCTCATCCAATCATGTTTCGAGTTCTTGGAATTCCTCTTTATTTTTCACTCCCACTGCTATGACTCTTGTTCACATCTTCCTTAACTCTTACTTGGTCTATAGCAATAAACTAACTAGTCTCACTAATTTCAGCCTCTTTTACCCTAAAAACCAGTGACAGATTATTCTTCCTAAAGTATAGCTCCAATTACCTCGCTCCCCTGATGAAAAACTCCAAATATCTTCCTAATGCCTACAGAAAAAGCCAAACTCCTTGAAAGCCCCTGACACTATATCCCTGGCCCATCTTTCCATCCTTATGTCCCACAATTTTTCGATTCATCTGTCACTCGAATACCTTCTGCCCCTTAGGCTTAAATGCCCTCTCCTAAGTTTTATCCTAGGTTAGTGGAACTAATTCCAAAGGTTGGGCAGATTATCAGGCTCTCTTGCACTTTGCACAGTGGCTGGCACATAGCTGACATTTAATAAATGCTTTATGACTGACTGAAAATGCCTCTCTTGCCCATTCTCCAATATCTAGCAGCAAAGACCCTCTTAGATGAGAGGTTCTTAACCTAGTGGTCTGTTAACTTGTCTTTAAATATTTTGATAACTATTTCAATATAACTGGTTTCCTTTACAATTCTTTTTTTATTTTATACATTTAAAAACAATATTCTAAGAAAGAGTCTGAAGTTTCACCAGACTGCCAAAGGATGCTATGACATATTAAAAAGGTGAAGAACTTCTGCTCTTCTTCTACTTGTGTGATAAATATTACCTCCAAACTATTAAAAGATGAAAGCAAAACCCTATACTCTATTTATATATATTCAAGTGTGGTTTGTGAAGGATTTGAATTACAGTTGGCCAGATCTTGTTTGGAAAATCAATACAAAAAATGCAAATGGGGTCAAGACCCTCCCTAAAGTATTTCTAGATGATAGGCATGCTTCTCTGGGTCTCTAGAGTTTCTTTTTTTCTTCTATCAGCCTTCTCCATGTCAATCCAAGTACCAATATCTGTGTGAGGATAGTAGGGAAGTCTTTGGTAGCAATGTAATTTAAAGCTATGTTGCTCTTGTTTATTAGAGCTCTGTTTCTGGAACAGCTTATCAGTAAGTGTCCCTCTTCTCCTTTCTCCCCTCTTCAAGTTTCTTTCATCACATCCTACTTTTTATCACATCTATTTGTGTACATGCCATACATATTCTATTAGACAGGAAACTCCTTGAGATCAGAAATTGTTAGTTTTAATCTACTGTCTAGCATAGTACATTCTCATAGTATTTACTTGGAATCTGACAACAGACTACAATGAGAAAAATTAAATTTCTATAAAGTTCTAAAAATGACAAAGTACCTGTAGGAGACTTTCTATAGCATGAAAGCCTCGAATTAAATTCAGAGCCCCACATAAGAGACTAAGGATAAATGCCACAATCCCTGGCAGAGTCACTGGCTCCAGTCGCTGGTGAGCTGGAAAAAAAGAAAATGGTCAAAAACAGGCACTAGAGTCTTACCTTTAGCTAGATCTAAATAAGAAAATGCAATTTTTTTTTAACTCAACCAGACTGATCAATAAATAAGACAGAGGAAAACACACCTGGGTATTAAGATGAAGAAAATGCATGACGATGTGAAAACTTACTTTTCTAAAACATCAAAATAAATGCCTCTCCCATAAGTTTTTAACAGACATTTAACTTGAAGGTATTTTATTTTGTCTGAGAAACATGAAAGACTCAAAAACTGCTTAAAAATTGGTAAGAAGGAAGCATATCTAAAAGTTTCACAGTTAATAACCTGATAAGTCACTTCAATTAAAAACTTGTTGCATGAGCTATTTTTCTGGAAAGGTTTGAATAAACAATTTCAAAACATGCAAAGTTTGTTTCTGAATAAAACACCAAACCTTTCAGGATACAAACATGACTTGATAAATTGGTTAAAAAAAAAAACAAAAAAAAACCCCAAACACACACACACACACACACACACACACACACACACACACACACACACACACTAACAACCACCTCTTCTGTAAGTACCAACTTAATTCCATAACAAGGTCTGATGGACATGCATGGTTTTAGTGGTCAACTGAAAGTAACTTCAAGGCAAAATTAAAACGCCAGTCTGAAAAAGTCACTATTTTATCATTACAAAAACATTCTTAACTGCTTAGCTCTGCTCTTAGCCTTCTACATAAAACACTGCACCTTCATAACTGTTGCCTCAGTCATCGTTTTGTTCTTATTGAATAAACAAAGGAAACCAAATATAAAAAATAGACAACTATCTACATGAGCATTCAGGCCACAAAAAGAAAATGGATAAAAGGCCAAGTGAACCATATTCATATCATTTTATTTAGATCACTGAAGTGTGAAAGTATAAACAAAGAAGTTAATGAGCTGAATCATTAATCTACAAAGGGTATAAATCTTAGTGGCTTACCCATTTAACCCATTCATCAGAAAAAAAATTACCCAAACAGTTTCTAAAGTTACAAAAGCCTGAGGGTCACATAACACACAAAAAAATTTCTTTAGTTCAGTAGAAAATAATGAAAAGACATATCACTTTATCATGTGCAATTTTTTGGAGATTTTTAAGATTTAAAAGGAAATCAAATGATTTTATATGTTGACACTGCTTTTTCATCATTTTCTCAGTAGGGGAAAAATGTACAATCTAGAAGTCTACCTGATCAGTCTCTCTCTTCCTACCAGGCAATTAGTCATCTGATGTTTATTCTCATTCCTTCTGAGAATGAAAGTTACTTTTGAATAAAAATACATATAAAAGGAATTCTTAATATAAGCCTCAAGCAGAAAAGTACCTATAAATTGAATGGATTATGTAAATAACATGCTTCTCAAGTAAATGAGACAAAGTTTATCTTGGTCTGGAAAACACTAAAGGTATTCTGTATGGTAACTCAAAAAACTTAGCTCCTTGTTATCTGAGAGACAAACGATTACTATTTTAATGTTCTGATGTCTATTTAAGATACACATATTTAAGAATATATGTGTAAACACATACACATTTAAGAAATAAATACTAATGCTACAAAAAGTACATATTCATTCTAAGTAAGGATGGCATCCACTTCCATTTGATCTTTTGGTCTCAGAACACAGTAGCACACATTTTAAATTTGCTGACTAGCATTTTAAAATTACTTAAAGTCATTGAAAACATTAAAAATATCATTAAAGCGACCAAGGCAGACCACATGCCTACTTCAAAAATTAGAGGTTTTTCACTGCTATCTTGAAGGACAAGTTGCAACTATGCTAAAGTGATGAGGGAAGGGAATTTCAGAGTTACTGATCATCTCTTAGCTGAACCACCTTTTCTCAATCCTCATTCTCTTTGAGCTCTCTGAAGCCTCTGACACTGTGGATCACTTACTCCTCCTTGATTACTCTCTTCTCTCTAGGTTTTCAGGACACCACTCTCTCCTGGCTCTGTTCCCACCTGACTGCTCTCTTTCTGTCTCCTTTGCTTGAACTTCTTCCAGATTCCAGAAGGTCTTAGAGATTCCCTCTAATAGGTATCCCTCAGGATTCTGTCCTGGTCCTTCTTCTCTTCTCCCTCTCTACTACTTCACTTGATGATCTCATCATATCCCATGATTTAATTATTATCTCTAAGCTGATGATTCCCAAATCTAATATCCTTCCCCAAACTCTGCTAACCTCTAATCTTGCATCTCCAATTGGCTTTCAAACATTTTAAACTGGATGTCTAGTAAACATCTGAAATTTGGTACGTTCAAACACAAATTAATTGTTTTTTTGCCCTAAATCCTCCCCCAACCCCAACCTGTGGCAATTAGGTGGCACAGTAGATACAGCACTGGGCTTAGAATCAGGAAGACTCATCTTCATGAGTTCAAATCCAGCTTCAGACACTTACTAGCTGTATGACTCTGGGCAAGTCACTTAACACTCTTTGCTTCAGTTTCTTCACCTGTAAAATGAGCTGGAGAAGGAAATGGCAAACAACTCCAGTATCCTTGCCAAGAAAACCCCAAATGGGTTCGCAGAGTCAGACATAACTGAAAAACAACTGAACAACAATACCCCAACCTCCCCTAAGATTGTAGAGAACAATAATCCATCCTCCCAATCTCTCAGGCTTACAACCTAGGAGTCATCTCAGTCTCCTCCAATCTCCTACCCCCCCCCATATCCAAGCTATTGACAAGGTCTGTCAATTTAACCTTTGCAACATCTTTGCCCCCAGGCCCTCATTTCCTCTTGCTTTGACTATTGCAACAACCAGCAAATAAAAAATGCTGTTTGGCATTCAAAGCCCTTTGTTACCTAGTCCCTCCTACCTTTCCAATCCTTACCCTACACCTTACTCCCTGACATGTTCTCTTCTATCCAATGAAACTGGCCTCCTGGTTGTCCACGAACGAGGCACTCCATTTCTCAGCTCTGGGCATCTTCTCTGGCTGTCTCCCATGCCTGGAATGCTCTCCCTCCTCTACTTTGACTACTGACCTCCTTTGACTACTGACCTCCCTGGTTTCCTTTAAGTCCAACTAAAATCCCATCTTCTATAGGAAGCCTTACCAAATCCTTCTCAATTCTAGTGTGTTCCCTCTATCCCACTATTAATTATCTCCTATTTAACCTGTATGTAGCTTGCTTAGTATGTATTTATTGCATATCGTCTCTCCCATTAGACTGGAAGCTCCTCGAGGACAAGAATTATCTTTTGCCTCTTTTTGTATTGCTAACACAATGCCTAACACATAGTAGGTATTTAATAAATGTTTACACATTGATTAAAGAATCCCCCCCACATCCTGCACCCTCACCAAAAAAAAAATCTGTTTCCAAGTCCTACACAAGCACTAGGTAAGCATAAGACAAAAGCAACTATGCTTCTAGCTAGTTTCAAGCTAACCAAAACCCTAAGAAAAAATGTCCAGTCAATGAGTTTGCTACTTTACTAATGAATTCAGAAGAATTGCTAATGAAGATCCACTATGGCCTGGGCAGTGGAAGAGTGACAGCCAGGGTAACATTACTTCTGTCAAACACGCAAGTTCTCCACAAGATGTGAGAGCCTAAGCAAAATGGCAGTGGTTTGGCAGATGCCAAGAAAAACGGCACAATCACCAAAAGTGCATTGTCCTGTCTCAATTATTGAATGACAGGTAACATGATGCATTGGAAGGAGAGCAGCTCTAGAAGTCAGAAGATCTGGATTTAAGTTTTAGTTTTGCTTCTACCTGGCTGTGGGAACTTGGGCATATCTATGAGCCTGAGTTTCCTCACTGATGAATGAGGAGTCTGGCCAAAAGCCATCCCCAAAAGATAAGTGGTCAAAGTATATGAACAAAGAATTCACAAAAGAAGAATTGAAAATTATTGCTAAAACTATCAAACCACATGAAAGAATGTCTGATAAAACTAAATAACAAAAGTAATGCAAACCAAAACAATACTAATGTTTTACCTCATCTGCAACAAATTAGAAAAGATACAAAAAGATGGCAATAGCCAACAGTCAATGTTGAAGGCACTGTGGGAAGACAGGCACTAGTGCATTGCTAGTGGAGTCATGTTGTGCACAAAGAATCAGAACAAAATATAAAAACCAAGAGAAAGAAAAAACAACAACAACAAAAGGTGAAAATAGTATGCTTTGATCTGCATTCAGACTCCATAGTTCTTTCTCTGGATGTGGATAGTATTTTCCATTCTGAGTCTTTTGGAATTGTCTTAGATCACTATATTGTTGAGAAGAACCATGTCAATCAAAGTTAATCATCGCACAATGTTGCTGTTACTGTGTACAAAGTTCTCCTGGTTCTGCTTACTTCGCTCAGTATCAGTTCATGTAAGTCTTTCCAAGTTTTTCTGAAATCCTCATTTCTTATAGCACAATAGCATTCCATTATTCATATACCACAATTTGTTTAGCCATTCCCCAATTGATTGGCATCACCTCAATTCCATCACCTCAAATTCCAATTCCAAAAACTCTATGGCAGTAAATCTGACAATCTAAATGAAACAGATGAATATTTACAAAAATATAAATTGCCCAGATTAATGGAAGAGGAAATAAAATACTTAAATAACCCCATTTCAGAAAAAGAAATTAACAAGCCATCAATGAACTCCCTAAGAAAAAATCTCCAGGGCCAGATGGGTTTACAAGTGAATTCTGCCAAACATTTAAAGAAAAACTAATTTCAATACTATATAAACTTTTTGAGAAAATAGGTGAAGAAGGAATCCTACCAAATTCTTTTTATGATACAAACCAGGAAGAGGCAAAACAGAGAAAGAAAACTATAGACCAATTTCCCTAACGAATCTAGACACAAAAATTCTAAATAATATATTAGCAAAGAGATTATAGCAATTTATCTTGAAGATAATATACTATGATTGGGTAGGATTTATACCGGAAACACAGGCTGGTTGAATATTAGGAAA